ATGTATTTATTTAAATAAATGGTTGGATTTTTGATATATATATATATTGTATATGAATAATTCATCAGACTAAGATAATACTATAACATCTCTTTAACTTATTAATTTTTAATTTTTAATTTTTAATTATGAAAGAAAAAATTACTTGGATAAAATTGAACAAAATCAAACGAGTATATATATTTTACTGGAAAAAATAGAATGTTTTTTTTGATAAAACTGAGGGTGTGGGTGTGGGTGTTATCCTTATGTCAAATTCACAGTCACACCTTCAACAAATGTCCTCTGTACTTATTTATATTTATTCTTTTATTATATAATACAGAGAATTTATTTAAAGATTCAAAAATGTGTGTGTCAGCGTGATAGTCTCTTGTCCTATGCTCATATCCAAATCTATGTAATACGATACGTTCATCGTGTGATGTTTTACGATAATAATGTTAATAGTTAAAGTTATAAAATGTCAATAAATCAATAAGATTAAATTCGTGAATAAGATTCAACAATGTAAGAGAATACTGATGGTATTCCCATGATAGTTTGCTGCAACAATATCAATTTTATTGTCATTGTTTACGTCACCTACTGCTACTGATAGTGGACCAGTACCAACCGAGTAAGTTAACTGAGAAAGAAATATTCCATTGCCTGTACCGAGAAGCACACCGATGGTATTCGAACCAGAATTTGCGACAATAATATCTTGGTTATTATCACCATTCATGTCGCTGATTACTACTGAATATGGAGTAGAACTAGTTGGATAAGTAATTTGAGACAGAAACGTTCCATTGCCCCTGTTGAGAAGAACGCTAACGGAATCCGAACCGGAATTTGCGACGACAATATCGATGTTATTATCATTATTGACGTCACCTATTGCTAACGATTGTGGCTTGGTACCGACTGAATAAGTACTGTGAGGAAGAAATATTCCATTATCATTGTTCAGCAGAACACTGGCGGTATTTGACGCATAGTTTGCGACAATAATATCGGCTGTATTATCATTATTTACATCACCCATTTGTACTGACACCGGAGTGTTACCAACTGTATAAGTAATTTGATTAAAAAAAGTTCCGTTGCCTTTGTTGACTAGAACACCGACGTTACGCGCTCCAGCGTTTGCAACAACAATATCCGACGCGTTATCATTATTCACATCAGCTACTGCTACTGCGTAGGTATAGCGGCTAGCTGTGTAAGTAACTTGAGAGAGAAACGTTCCATTACCTCTGTTGAGAAGAACGCTAATAGTGGTCGCACCGTAATTTGCAACAGCAATATCGACTTTATTGTCACGATTCATATCAGCTACTGCTACGAAATATGGACTTTGGCCAACCTGGTAGGTAATCTGAGATGAAAAGATCCCGTTACCAGAATTTAGAAGAACGCCAATATTATTCGATTCACGATTCGCAACGACAATGTCGAATTTATTGTCATTGTTCACATCTGCTACTACCACTGATATAGGAAAAGAACCAACCGAGTAAATTGTTTGATTGTAGAACATACTATAGCAACCTATTAAATAAAAAATATACGTCTCAGGCAGAATTAAACTTATTTTTGAAATCATTCTATGATCATATGATTTTAAAAAATTTTCAAACAATAATGCAGTTGCTATTATTATTTTAACTTTTTGAAAGTTGTAAAGTTCTTAAGTTGTATTTGATAAAAATTGAATATAGTCTTAGAAAGATGTAGAGTGCGGTAGATGTTTAAAACAAAATATAACGAAAACTGTTCATTTCCAATCAATAAAATATTTTAAAATAAGTTTTTCTTAGTCAATTGATACGTTATTTACCTTATCATATGTTACTGATTTGCCCGACCAAGAAAAAATTCAAATTTCTGCGCGGAAACAAGATATGTGAGAATACAGGTGAGAAAATATAATACTCACATTGTTCTCATGAATTAAGTCGGTATATCTAGGGTCAAATACTGATGCTGATCAAAAGTGTTCTTTTTAGGTGTAGAGTCAGCATTTTATACCACTACGATTTTCTTTTAACACCTCGACTCTAAATAAATGCTATTCAAAACATGAGATTAGGCGTTCATAAGCATGTCCATGTGTAAAATCATGCCCACAAATCAGATTAAAATCAACCGTTTCAGTTATAGAAGGGGATTTTTCCTGGATTCAATCTTGTGCTAAAATAATTCCAACTTAATATTTCCCGATTGTTTTCTATTTGCTATCTAAAATAGTGGTAGTTACAAATAGTACTAGTCATAAGTCTTCAAAAATGACTCAATAAATATAAAGAACATGAAAATAATTAAAGCCATAATAGCGAACTACTGTTTTCGCTACGCTATCTACACAATAAAAGCTCATCTTTAACGCCAGACCTGTAGAAGAACTAACAGTTCACCTTCTTGAAAATGGATGTCAAACGATGAAACAGTGTAACAACAATCAATGCTCTACTAATTAACACAAAACCTGATCTCACTACCAGTCTACTTCCTAGCTTATCGCTTAAAGATCAACGGTGGTACACTCACTATTTGGGCTCCGCTTCTATGAAGGAAAGGAACAAAGGTTTAAGTAAATTGGTCCACAAATATTTTCTTTTCGTAGCGTTCTCTTTATCTTTTTTCTAGTAAACAATACAATAACCTTTTTATCTACACTGAGTTTTGAAGGATCTCAAAGTCTGAATATTTCTTTCCATACGGATGGCAAAATAGTATATTTTATTGTTTCTCTCGACGATCATAGAGTTTAGCATCTTTCGAAATAATATTCCTTGAAAACCTATCGTTTAGCGACATACATGTTTAAGATTTCAAATTAGTTCTTTCGATATACACTCTTATAACTTACTGTTCGTCACCAATATGTATCCTTCCCAATTCTCCTCCTTTGTGGTGGCTGGTGTCAAACTAGAGCAATCTCTAAGTTCGCAAGTTTGAGTAATGAGTTGAAAGTTCACTCCATTGCAATTTTTCGTTGACACGCATTTGAATTTGCAATCATCCAGTGTCTGGACCTTCATATTAGTTTCCAACTTTTTGCAATTTCCATCATTGATCAAACCGTTTGTAATAACCAATTGCCAATTATCGACTAGAAAAAAAACACGTTGTACTACATTGAAAATAGAAAAACACCTGATCTGAGTGAGAGTTGTAACCTGTCTCGTCGAATAGCAGAGCTGGTCCCGTAGATGAGTTCTTAGTGGCCAGTATGCAGGCCTTTAGAGACAATTTTTTATCTACTGGATCGGTAGCAACTGTTTCCGAGTTGTGGCGTATGAAGTGTTCTGTCTACCATTGAATATGAAGGAAAAGGTTGCTTGAGAGATAAACGGGATGTGTGTGTGTAATTGGATGAAGGTCGGCGTGAATGAGTGTGGGTATTTCATCAGTCTCTAATTCACACACAGGCACTCAAATCTAACTATACCCACAACTACACTCACATTCATGGAATCAAGTCATCAGGAATAGAGCCTGTTTGCAGCTCTCATGCAAAGTTCTCTAATGTTCTATATGTAGATGAGGAACATCGAACAGCTAAAACCAAAACTTTTAGATTTGGTTACTTGTCATACTCATCATTTAGGCTATTACAAATCATCTAGCCTATTACTAACCTGACATTGTTGATGTTGATGTTGACGTGGTAGTTGATTCTAAATTGCAAAAATGTGTTTAAAAAGAGACTTAGTAATTGCATAAGGCTTTATTCGTAACTTCTCTCGTCTTCTTTTTCTCCAACCATCTATCTACCGTAACTATTAGTGCATTATAATAAAATAGCAAATTCTTAAATGCGTTACATTATAATTGCAATTCTATGGTCTTTACTTAAAGCACATCTCCACTATAATAATTTTGACAACTCATCTTACATTTCTTATAAGTTTAATAATGAAATATTTCATTTTCATTTAAGATGAAATTCTAGCCAGAAACTTATCCTAGTTCAATGATCAAAGCTCACAGCTTACGTGTAACTTTCATAAAACGGAATTAATTCACGTCGGTCTAGTTCATCACTTGCTTTTCTAAACTATTGATTATTATAGTGCAGCTAGTGATACTGTTAAGATATTCTTTGTGATATCGAGAAAAACTTCAAGATGACCTCATTAAATCGTAATCAGAGCTGTTACAATAGGCTCATTTCTTTTTCAAACTATTTTTGATCATCATCTCCATAAAAAATAGTACTGTATATTTTCTTATTTATTGTCTAAGATCTTCGAAAATGCGCTGCAAATTTATAAACAATATCGACCAAATTCTTTTTCAAAAACATCAATGTCAATTTTATTTCATCGAAGAATTCTCTGTATTTTTTTGTTATTTTTGCAAGTATTGATTTTTTAGTTTGAATAGGGCCATTTTAAGCCCCACAGAGATTTTGTTTACTAGGATATTTTCAAAGTATAGAATTCGAAAAATAAGCCTTGAAACAGTCACTTCAACTCAACAAGTTTTGCTTTCGGATGATGGCTTTAGTTAGATGTTTTTTTTCTTTAATCTAATTTGTTAGGAAACTCGATATCTCTCAGAAATTATTGAAACTACTAAATAAGACCTATGAAGAGAAAGCTTTTCGGATTTTCATACCAATGATATAATAAATAGTTATAACGGCACAACTGATTCACATGGAATGTTCTGTAAAATATGTCAACTGTGATAATTGGTGAGAGGATGTGATGGACAGAAAACAAATCTATCAATCACAAACAAATATCGAAAATTCCGCTCATGTTATGTTTATTAGTGTAAGAAGAAATGATCTAATCGGCCTTGAAATTTCAGCTAATACTAATGTCACTACTGTTTGTAACATAAAAAGAATCAAAGAAATCGGATTTTCTCAGAGACTTACTTTCTATAAATATTCTGCTACATGCTAAAAGTTTCATTATGGATCTCACAAAAGCTTTTGGTACTGTTGCTTTCGGGCAGGATGTATAATTTGTTATAACAAACAATGAAGTTCTACTTCTGTTCTCATGTATCATTATTTCAATAACATATCTAAAGTGAACTTAATGGTTGATTTTGGGATAGTTTATCTTTTATGAAATATTCTAAACAAATAATTATTTGGTTTTTATATAACTATACCTTTTGTTGTTGTTGTTTGCATCGTCTTCGTTTTTGTTATTTCAGTTGTTGATATATCTGTATTAATTATCCTTTTTCTTATGTGAATAACTATGGGAATAATTATAATTAAAACAGCTACAATAAAAGTAAGTGTGATCCACGTCACTTTTCTTGCTTTCAGATGATGATAACTAGAATAGTAAAATTTTTTTATCAACGTGTACGATTAATAATATAATACTTACAATGGTTTTCGTTGCTTTCCAATCGAAACAACTGTTTCAGACTAAAATAATCAAAAAGACAAAATTATATTATATGCTTTTTCTTTTTCTCAATAAATTACATTATCATTAACAACTCCTATTTTGTTGTTGTTGTTGTTCATTGTTGAATGTTTAATACTTTTACAATCTAAAATCGACAACAAACTTTTTTTTTCATTTGTATATATTTTTAGTAATTAGATATTGTTTTTCTCACTTAAAAGTTTTTCATTCCAATTTCAACTAGAAAATTGATTAAAAGAATAGAAAAAATATTTATCATGCTCTCTCTTTCTCTTTTTCTTTCTTAAATACTCAGTTCTTTCTTGACGTATATCATCGTGTAAATGTGAAACATCATATATCAATAAAAAAAATAAGCTCACTTCCTTTTTCAATGTTAGTTTTCAAAAAAAAAAACAACTCTTGTCAGATAGAGTTATTATCTCTTTTATAAATATGCAGCCGTCTGAGATAAAATTTAGTGTAATTATTAGTTGATAAAACATTGATTTACTTACAAATCGAAATAAAACATTCAAGATAACAAAAATGATTAGTATTTGATCTTTATTTAGTTATAGTCTACTAAAATAGTCATATAAAATGCATAGATTCTTTGAATAATTACATTTGGATGTGACTGTTGACAGTTGTGGATATTATATCTCATACTATGAATAGTTATTTATGCTCTTTCAATCACTTTTGTTTCTTGATTTGTGCTGAAATCTGCTCTTTTTTTTGGGAATAAATACGAGGATGATACTTTGACAGATGAATGTATTACTCTTATCCTGATGTTAATTCATCCTCATTCTCATTCTTTCGCATACATCATCAAACTATTTTATACGCATCTCAATCTATTACTAAAGTATTTTATCGATAACAACTTGATAACTAACAACGTAGTTATAACTGAACTCTATAAACTTTGAAATGAATGAATGAGTGAAAAATAATAAAATATTCTGTTCAAATACACTCTTTTCTCTCAGGAAACTTTGCATTTCCTTCAAAAGTGCTGATTTTCAATGTTTTTTTTGTATAAATAATTATACTAACTGTTATTTGGGCTCGTTTACATCACGTGCTACTCATTTCATCAACATATGTTATGTTGTCATAAATATTTTATATCAAGATGATTATACAGTGAGCATCACAATTGTTCATTCATTATTACCTTTATTTTAAATGAAATAAATAAAACTAACAAGAATTTCATTTGATTTCGAATGATTAATACTATTATGAAAAAATGATCTTCTTATCTGTTATTGATATTTGTCTTCTATTGAGTGAAATAAAAATTAGTTGTTTCTTTTTAGTTACATTCTTCAATCATTAACTAAGAAAATTGATTTGAATAGTAGAAAGACACTTCTATATTTTACTGAAAACTGAACAAGATAAAAAGAAAAAGTTTATTTTTTTTCTTCTCTATTCGCCTACCTAATGATGTCACTGAGGATATTATTTTTTTTGAAATATTTGTAACAAATACACCATTTGAGTTTAACAATAAAGAAAAACAAAGAATCTGTTTCCTTTTTCAAAGCTGATATGAAATGTGAAGTATTATTTGCTGTAAATATAAAGATGTTCATGATATTGAAATTTTGTAGGTGGGATGTGAAAACAAAGTGTTTCAAACAAAATGTGATGTTATTCTTGTTAAGGATACATCCAAAATCATGGCTTAACGAAGGAAATGCAACGCTTCCTGGACAATAAAATAGAAGTTTTTTTGACAACAGAATGTTTTTGTTATTTTGTATAAAATATATTTGAATATTCTTCTCTTAACATTCTTTTTTGATGTTTTGTATGATTGTTCAATATATTCACTAGAATAATAAGATGCAACCACAAACATCGTTATATTATCATTGGAAAATGCTCAACCAGTTTCTAATTGTTTCACATCATTCCAAATAACTTTAGCAAAATGTTTTAATTTAGAAAAATCATGATATTCACAATTATATATTTTTTATTATACCATTGATTGACTGCAACTGAACCTTCAAATTAATAGAAATATTTTAATTCTTATTTAGCTTGTAATTTATAACTAAGTACTTGATAATATAGATTTTCCATTCTAATTTCGTTATAATTTGGCGCTGTTTCACCAAATGTAGCTAATCTATTTGTATAGTCTTGAGAGAATTCATTTAGATTTTCACTTAATGTTAATAATTGTGAATAATGTTCTTTACGATAATTACTATGTTTATCTAAAGTTTGTTGTCTGAACATATTTAAAGAAAGTATATCTGGATATGATGTATTCATCACTAAATTAAAATATATATATTTTTTTGATGATAACAAACGATTTTATTTATGTCCAAAGGCACGAATAAAAAAATCATTTTTAATCCCTTTCCATGACGTGATTCACCTATATAATCATCATCCGATCAAAAACCAACAACTTTTGAATATTGTCAAAATTCTTTTAATGGAATTGGAAATAACCAAATTAATCTTTCGTTTAAAAATGAAATTGAAATGAGTAAAATATATGTCACTAGTTCATTACTGAAAAACTTTTATGATCAACAGGAGTGTTTGAACAATTGTTTTCCGATAAAGGAATTTTTCCATTCTCGAAAAAATACGGTTAGATAAACAATGACATCTAAAACATGTATGATATACAATAATAGATCTTCTAGTATTTTCGTCTTAAGTAATAAACTGAAGTTTAAAAAAATCTTTAATTATGCATATTTTATCACATGGTATATTTCTGTCTTCCGCCAAGACTAAAAATAGTTTTCATTATTTTTTCAAAGAAGATTTTTTTAGAATTCTACTTTTAGATCATGACATGTGAGCATTTATCTACTTATATATTTCATCATCGATGTTATCTAAATTATGACTGTAATTACAGTCATAATATCTATTGAAATTATAATATGTCTATCTTATAATAGTTGTGTTAAAAACTAATTAGTTAATTTTCATCAACATTGTCTGAACAGATTAATACGTCATAGTATCATTTAGACATAGATATAACTCATAGCAATATTTTGACAAATCTTATAAGCCTAATAATACCTCTTAGTAATGATTCGTATAATTCTTACAAAATAGTTTCTAGTGACGTAGGTATGAACAAACACAAATTCTTCTTTTGTATAGCAAAAAATTTGCTAAATATAATTTGTACCCTTGACGTTCTCTGAATACAGATAGTTCATCTGTGAGCACAAGATAAGACTGGTCATTTTAATTACAGAAAACTCAACATGTAATCAATTAATTTTGTTAGAAAATTTTTTTTAATCATATTAAAAGGAAGAAAACAACATGTTCGCGGAGTATTAATAAACTAAAATATTCTATATAATTAAAAAATATATCCACTGGAATTTACAGTAGTGGAGGTATATAAAAATAAATATCATTAAGAATCTTCATTTATTTTATATACTAAAATAAAGTAAGAATGAATGATCAAATCTATTTTACAACAATTGCTGTTATTTATTGCATATTAAATATGATTACTATTACATTTTCATTAATCATCGTCTTAACTATTGCCTTCAATTGGAAAATGCATTTTTGTTCCGTTTCAAATCTTCTTATTTTGAATTCATCATTTGTTTTCTTTTTATATGCTATCAGCTGTTTTATTCAAACACCATTGATGATTTCTAATAATAACAATAACAATATCAATTTACTTTTCTGTCAATTATGTGGCTTTTTTGGTCAATATATAGCTGGAACGCAAATCTTTACATTTCTGGCTCAAGCAATATTTCGTTATTTTGCAACTGTTCTTTATCGACAAAAGATTCTTTTAACTTTTCGTGTGAATACTATTATAATTATATTAGGTTGGATTATTCCTTTAATTATAACAGCTAGTCTGCTTGTATTACCATTAGCTTATCAATATGAGCCTGAATCAAGGATATGTTTTACTTCAACAAAATATTTATTGGGAGCACTTATAGTTAGTATCTTTATTTTCTTTATGCCTTTAACAATAATCATTGGTCTCTATGGATTAATTCTATGGAATTTAACACATTTCGATCGTTTTCAATCCGATGCTAACAATATAATAAGATATAAACGAAATATAAAAGTGTTTCATAATATCCTTCTTATTGTTGCTATACTGCTTGTTTGCGGAGTACCTTATTTGCTTTGTATTATTATTAACATTATCTCTGAAACACCATGGATATTGTACTCAATTAAAACACTATGTATCTCATTATCTATAGCACTTGAAACATTGGTACTATTTTTTACTAATGGTAAAATTAAGAAGACACTTTATGAAAAAATAGGTTTTCATCAGACACAAGTACAAGCGATACAATCCAGAAAAACAAATCATATCAATAGAAATCAGATATTACCAGTTATTAGTTAATCTTGCTTAGTAAATGATATATTCAATGAATCAGATTTAAAACTACACCAATGGAAATTATTCTTAATTAGACAACATTCCCTTTCACAAAAAAAACTTTCTAATTTTATCTACCCTTTTTTCCGTTTATAATAACAAGTTCCTTGTCAAAAAGATTTATGTCTATATATTCATTCTTTTGTACGTTGATATTATACATGGGGTGTGGGTAGGTAGGTGTGGGTTTGGGGCTGTATTTTATCCTTATATCACACCCACACCCTCAAGAAATAGACCCCGTAGACGTTCCAAACGCGAGTTCTTTCATACGAAATCAATATCAAATCTTTTTTCGAAAACAATAGTTGATTTTAGCTTAGTAGATAGTTTCTCAATGACGTTTGTAATTCATAATGAAGATAAATAACATATTTTATCGTTGTCTTTTAATGATAGAAATTGTAAAAGTTCAAAGCTATTTTCGAAGTAATTAATAGTAAGATGTTGTAGTTGAGAAAATACATTAATCAGATATTTTGCTTTTTTCAATGAATGTGTAGTAATAATCGACTCTTTGATATTATTCATTTCCGATAATGATTGAAATTTATCATTTTTTTTGCGACTAACTCGAAATCGATATTCACACCTGATCATCGATCAATTACAAATCGAAAAACATTGGATGTAAAAACACCACCAGAATAACGATAAAAGAATATTATTTAATACATTCATGAGATCAGATTTGTATTTATTCATGAAAAAGCACATGATAAGCTCATTAACATATGGGAAATAGTTTTACAATTTATTATTAATTATTTATGAGGGTGTGAGAATAGCTACGTCTGAATGTTTCATACATGTCACCCACACCCTCAAGTGGACTTCTATTACAGGATCGATTTTCATAACATCAATCAAACTAGTGTATCTACAAAATATTTTCAAGATAATATTGTATGAACACTGAAGCGCATTTTATCTCATCCTAGTAAAGAAAATTTAAAGTCAGTTGCGAGAATAAAATAATTTTTTATATTGTAACGTATAAAATCAACAATGTTTAAGTAGTTAATGGATGAATTTTTTTCACAGATTCAATTGCTGCTTGAATACATGCTTCAAAATTTGAGTCTGCTGCAAAACTATCACCAGCTAGCATTAATAGAGGATGTTCATTAAGTACGACATAACCTGGTTGATTTGGATAAGATTGAATTACTTGTGAATATTTCCATTTATGATATTTTGTATTACTAATATCACGTGAAAGTTCAGGTAAAAATTGAAAGATTTTTTCTTTAATTTCTTCTCCAATTATCATTTTATCATCATCAATATGTTTTGCACCAAACTCGACACTTGTTTGAGCAATTAAAGAAAATGGTGGTTCATCTAAACTTAATTAAATTCTTATTTTTATATTAGAATATATATAACTAACTTTTATTTCGTTTTGCATTATCAATAGCAAGAAAACGAAGACATTCATGTTCCTTTTTATCAACATAATAAATACGCCAAGGAATATTAAGATTTGTTACTGAAGATGAATAAAAAAGGCCAACAGCAAAACGACTAGAATATTTAATCTGAGAAAGATTTTCTTTTACTTCTTTATTTTGATCTTTGAAACAAAATAAATAAATATAAACAAATAATCTTATGAAATAGACTTTTATAAGTACCTATTAATTGAGTAATAGAACCTTGCAATTGACAAAGTACTTGTGGTACTGGAATAGTAACAATAACAGCTTCGGCTTCATCTATTTGTTCTTTATCAGTTGATATTGTAAATTTATCATTTGTTGAATTAAAATCAATCTTTGTAATTTGTTTAGAAAGATTCATTTCAACAACTACAATGATTCAATAATATTTATTTATTTATTTATAATATACAATTTACCTGCTTGTTCGAAAAAATATCGTACAATAGATGCTATTCCACGAGGTGCTGTATAATCAATTTTATCTTGATTTTCACGTATACCAATTGTATTTTGTTTATCAAGTAACTCAATAACATGATCATCGATTAATTGTTGAAAAAATCTAATTTTAATACTGAAGAATTTTCTATTTACTAAATAAAATTTACTTTGTTGTTATGCTATTTGATTTCGTTAATGTTAGATATTGAGCACCAGTATCAACAGAACAATGAGGATTTTCTTCACTATCAAAACTAGTTGTCATACGACCACCTTGAATTTATAAAAAATTCATAATTGAAAAAAAATAATGAAAATCATTTATATTTACCAATGCTTCTGCCTTTATCAAATACAACAAGTTTTATTGCTGGACCATATTGACGGCGAAGTAAAAGAGATATTATTGCACTTGATATACCAGCTCCAATTAGTATTACTTTCATTGTTTATATTTTAATATGAAATTAAACATTCATTTATATAATACCTGAATCGATTCGAAGATAATGAAAACGAATCGATCTCGCTATGTTATTTTAACAGATGTCACCCGTAATATTTCGTCAATGATCGAAAGAATGAATTCGATATAATCTGCTAAACGATAAAAACGCAAACTATGTTTATTTTTCAGACTAAAATAAATATTATGTCAAAAAAACAATTTTTCTTTTCTCTTTTGAAACATAATTTTATATTAATCATAGTTGCATGAGTATTTTCTTTCCATCTATCTCTACACCTTATGAGTTTTTTCTTCCCTTTCTGTTCTCTTGTATTTCTAAAACGTACATGAATCAGAGTATGTTGCAATAAAATTCAATGTTACAAAATAACGAAAGAAGTATATATAATATCGAGAGAATATCTTAGCAGTGAGTCATATAGAAGAAGAAAACTAAGCAAGACAAATTGTTTGTTCTCCAGGAAAAATGTCGATTGATGTTAAATTAGATATTGATAATCTTATAACACGTTTACTTGAAGGTAAGAAATTAGTGCATAGTTACTATGATGTTTTATTCTTTTTTTTGTTTAAGTACGTGAATATCATGTAGAAAAATTCGTTGAAATCAGTGAGAATGAAATACATAAATTATGTTTACAAGTACGTGAATTATTTCTGGAACAACCTGTTTTACTTGAACTTGATGTACCAGTAAAAATTTGTGGTGATATTCATGGGCAATATGTTGATCTACTACGTATATTTGAATGTAGTGGATATCCACCAGAGTCTAATTATCTTTTTCTTGGTGATTATATTGGTCGTGGAAAACAATCAATAGAAACAATTTGTTTATTATTTGCTTATAAGGTTTAATTAAAAATAATGGAATATATTATTTTAAAAAATCGAATATGAATATTTATTTAGATAAAATATCCTGAAAATATTTTTCTTCTTCGTGGAAATCATGAATGTGCATCGATTAATAGAATTTATGGATTTTATGATGAATGTAAGATAGTATAGATAAGAAGAATTTGATGTAAAATGTATACATATATATCTAGGTAAACGTCGATATAATATAGAATTATGGAACATATTTAATGATTGTTTTAATTGTTTACCTGTTGCTGCTATTATTGATGATAAAATCTTTTGTTGTCATGGAGGTAAATATTTGTTTTCCTATAAATTGTTGGTGTAAAACTAATTCTGAAATGTTAGGTTTATCACCTGATCTTCAACACATGGGACAAATTCGACGAATTAATCGTCCAATAGATGTACCCGATACTGGTATAGAATAATAAAAGTTGATTCTGTTTTAAAAATCATTATTTTCGTTTGTTTTTAAATAGGATTATTATGCGATTTGTTATGGTATGTCGTCTTCTTATCATTCCTTCATTTTTTTTAATGAATATATTAGGTCTAGACCAGCCGAAGATATTGAAGGTTGGCATGAAAATGATCGTGGTGTTTCATTTAAATTTGGTGCAGATGTTGTAGATAAAGTATGATAAGAGATTATCTAACAAAATTCAATGTTTATATTTTAGTTTTTACGTGAACATAATCTGGATTTAATATGTCGAGCACATGATGTAAAGAAATATTTGTAATTAAATCGTATTTTTCGAATTCTTTTTATCTTAAAATAGATGGTAGAAGATGGTTATGAATTTTTTGCTGATCATCAATTAGTAACGATATTTTCAGCACCGAATTATTGTGGTGAATTTAATAATGCTGCTGGAATAATGACAGTAGATAGATCACTTCAATGTTCTTTTCTAGTAACTATTCTATTTTCTATAAACAAATATTCTCAAATTTTATTCTTAGGTATTAAAACCTTCTGACAAAAAGACTTAATGATTTATGTTCAATTCAATTCGAACTGAATTTGTTTATATTATGTTATATTTTTTATATAATTATAAATAAAATTATTAAAATCCGTACAGTTCATTTTCTTCTTAAATAATAAATATTGTCTTGAAACTCTCCCTCTATTGGTTTCTAATCGAATAGATGTCACTTCGATGATTGTCATGTTCAATAAAGTATAGTAATGCCAATGGTCTGCTAGGCGACTTAACTTTACTAGTTCAGTACTCATGGTAGATGTAAAAAGAATGAAATTGATCACTGATTTCTTAGAACGATGAATAGCAATTCATGGCAACATCCATTTGTTAATATATTGAAACACTTCGAAATAAATTCATCGAAAAAATGTGTCAAACAAGGAGATATTTCTCCTATAATGGTAAAGACATCCAGTTATTTCTTTTTTTTTAATACTTCGCATTATAGGATCGAGATCTAAAATCAACTGTATATCGTATACGTGGTTTAATACCAGCAAATAATTACATACAATTTCCATCTCACTCATCAAATCAAAATCTTGGTCTATTAGGTCGTTTATTTTATATATTATTTCGACCTATCTATGATAAATATTTTTGTATACATATTGATATTCTTACACATGAACAACATCTTATACATATATCATTATCGAATATGTATCGTGAATTTAAAGTTACACAAACATCTATTCAATTTCCATATATGACAACAGGTACAGATATTCATTGGTCTGTATTATGTTTAGATTTACATACAATTTTATCCACTTATATGACAAATGAACATTTTCATATGATAAAATTATTTCAATTATCAGGAAATATGCTTGTTAAAAATTGTTTTTCATCACAATTTTTATATGAACCTGGTATTGATAATGATACTGCTAAACGTACTGGTTTAACACGTGCTGGTATATGTTCATTACCACGTGAATTATCTTATCCAATTACTAAAGGTGAATCTTGGCATGATAGATATGATTTTATTATGTTTCCAAATAGCTCATCATTAATGGGTAAAAATCAAAATGAACCATTTGATAAAGTTGGTAATGTACGTTTACCAACACCAAGAAAATTTGAAATAGATAATGAAAATTACAATCAAATTGAAGATGATGAAATATCACCATTAACTGTTCAAACAACACTTGTTAATGGACAAATTAATCGATCAATAACAGATTTTGCTCATATTACACATAGATCTGCATCACTTGGAGATAATCAAGTATGAGAATAATTGTTAATCTATATTAATATATATATTTTATATTTAGCTCAACTGGCGTACATATGATAATCCAATCGAAAATTTCCCATCATTACCTATTTTACCTCATAATAATAATAATAATGATGGTATCCATCTATTTATCAATCCACAAACAATTCCTTCATCATCATCAATTATTGATGATTCAAATTATGATCTTGCTTTAACAACTGAACATTCTCAGCAATCTCATCTTAAAACACTTCTACCTGATCCAATACTTCGATTACGTACAGTAATTGGTTTAGACAATGAATTTTCTAATTTACTATGGACACAAGATGGTAACTATATACTTTATTCATCAAATGCTGTTGTTGTTCAAATGCATGTTGAAACTCAACAACAATGGTTTTTTATTGGACATACAGATAGAATCAGTGCTATGGCATATAATCATAATTCATCATTATTAGCAACTATACAAACAGGACAAAATGGTACGAAAAAATCCTAAATCTTTTTTGTCAAAATAATGTTATTTTTTATTTTAGCTATTGTTCGTTTATGGAAATTTGACACTCGTCATTGTATAAATGCTAGTCGTGTTTTAAATACATGTGATTTATATGCAATTGATTTTAGTTCAGGAAATTCATCATTATCTTTACTTATTGTTGGTCATGATGAACAATCTCGTACAGTTATTTGTATATATAATATATCAAATGTATATAAAGGTTCTATTGAATTAATATCACGAGCAACCACTGATGCATCAATAACACATATACGTTTTGTTCCGAATAGTCTAATGAATTTTATATCAATTGGTTATGATAATATACGTTTTTGGCATATAACAAATGAAAATGATTTAAAATCAATAAATATATTTGTAAATAATCATGATCATTTTGAATATACTGATTTACAATTTGATAATTTATGTCATAATAAAATCAATGAATTAATTGTTTATATTTCAACAAAAACTGGTCATATACTTGAATTATTATATGAAGAAAAACGTGTAATTACAATTCATTATTTATCCGATAAACTTAAAACAAATAAAGAATCTCTATTTAGTATATCGAAATTAGTATGTACAGATAATTTTTGTATAACAGGTTCAAATGATGGATATGTACGTGTATGGTCAAGAGATTTTACTCAAGTTTATATCGAAGCTAAATATGATCAAACAATTTCTGGTTTAATCTTATCATCTGATCAAACTCGTGTATTAATTTCTACAATATCTGGTTTACTTAATATATTAAATCTTATAACTAAAGTACATTCAAACTTAATGCGTACACATACGAAATTTATTACTGATATTGATTATGATGATACAAGAAAACAAATGATAAGTGTAGGACAAGATGGAACTATTCGAATATGGAATTTTCGTACTGGTAAACAATTATCAGAATTTACTTCTGAAAAAGATATACCATTGATAGTTGTATATACTCCCGATCGACAAATGTTCGCTTGTGGATTTAATAATGGAACTATAAAAATATTTGATTTGAATACATCAATTATATCTAATGAAATAAAGTAAGAAGAAATTTCTTTTTGTTTTGAAAAAATATTAATTTATATATTATAGACATCATAATATAAGTATTACTGGTTTACTTTATTCTCATAATGGATTATATTTAATCAGTTGTGATGAAGAAGGTGATCTTTGTTTATCAGATGTAACTGATAATTATCGATTGTTGAAATCAATTGGTAAAGCATTAGTCATATCAAAACAAGGTCCAATGCCACTTTCATTAAGTCCAGATGGTAAATATATCGTTTATATTGGACCAACTGAATTTATAGTAACAATTATTGAAACAAATACTCTCAATCAAATCTTACGAATTGATATAAGTAGTTGTACATTTATGACAAAGGATCATCGAACAATAATATCATCGGAATCAGCTGTATTTGCACGTTTTACACCTAATCGACATCTTTTAGTTGCAACAATAAATATGAAATTACTTAAATTTGATTCCTATACTGGAAAATTATTAAATATTGTAAGATTAAATATTTTTCTTCTATTTAATTAGACTTTTTTTGTGTATATAGATTGATAATATACATAAACGTTCATTTGATAGTTTAGCATTATCTTCCGATAGTCAATATCTTATAACTAGTGGTGATAATATGTTAAAATTTTGGAATGCTAATATGGAATTAGATATTAATTTTCAAAGTTTTGTTGGTCATTCAAATCAAGTACGAAAAATACTCTTTACCGATGATAATATGCATGTAATAAGCATCGGTGATTCAATATTGGTTTGGGATGTACTTGCATGGAAAACAGAACAACCAATAATGCCAAAGTAATAAACTTTGCTATAAAAAAAATCAACCTTCATAGAAAAATTATTTTAGTAATGCACAATGTATTGTTCCTCCACAATCCGTAATGACGAAAAGTAATTAATAAGATTTTTACAATTAGAAGAAAAAGTTTTTTTCTTCTTTTAAGTTCTTGAAAATATAACAGTTGAAACAAAATCAAATCGACCTGGAATACTTCGTAATTCTCAACAAACAATTGATAATACTGTAACCATTACACAAGGAGAAAAGTAGAGAATTTATTTCTAGATTGTTTTTTTTTTCAATAACAGATTTTTATTTTCAGAAAAATGATTAAAAATAAATTACCAGCACAACGATCTAGTAATGAGGATTCTCTCTCATCACCTTCTATTCAACGTCATTTTATTCCACGAATTAATCATTCTCATTTAGCAAAAGTAATTCAATTAATTTATTTTTTTAGTATAATTGAAAAGATTGTTCGTAATTTAGAAACGATATGTAGCACCAACGAATCAAGAAAGTCTTAAACTTCAATCAATTATTGGTTATAATGGGAATGGACGAGAAAATCTTGTTTGGTATCCAGATACAAGTTTTTTTGCTTATACTGTTGGTTGTAATATTATTGTAGAAGATCTTAATAATAATCATCAAACTATTTTAACTGGTCATACAGAAGAAATCTCGACAATGACATTATCAAATAATGGAATGATTTTAGCGAGTGCTCAATGTTCACTATCAAGAAAAAAAGATGAATTACAATCAAAGATTATTATTTGGGATACAAAAATACTTCGACAAAAATTATATTTCAATCAATCTGTACAAGCTATTCAATCAATGGCATTTTCAAAGTAAGAAAGTCTTTCAAAACCATTTCTGTTCTATTTTATTCATTTATAGAGATGATCGTTATTTGATTACAATTGGTAATTATAAAAAACCAATAGTTACACTTTGGTCAACGAAAAATTATTCTCATTTACTTAATTGGCAAGATGATTTTTCATCCTATTATATAAATTGTGTTGCTTGGAATTCAACACGTTCAAATGAATTTTGTCTTGGTGGATCAAATAGTACTATTCGTATTTGTACAATAAATGAACAAACAACAAATGACGATAATATAAGTTTACAAGTTATAAATGGAAAAATCCCATTAATCGTCAATGAAAGTACACAAAAAACATGTGATATAACAGCATGTAATTATTTAACATCAAGTATAAATCTTGTTTTATGTGCAACAAATACTGGTTTTATTACTTGTTGGAATAGTCGATTATGTTTATGTGTTCTTCATTGGAAAGCAGATCTAAATGAAATAACTTATATAGCAACAATAAAAAATAAACTATTAACTGGATCATCAACAGGATGTTTAAAATTATGGAATATTGAAAATCTTGAAATGAATTTAGGACAATTAAATACAATAGATTCGTAAATTTTTTCAGCTTGAATGATAATAAGAGATTATATATTTCTTTTTTTTTTAGAAATTATGGTTTAATAATTCAAGATGAATTTCAATTAGACGATGGAATAATAAGTGGTTCATTCGATCATATATTCGATATGGGAATTGTTGGAACATCATGTGGATCATTATGGTATATTTGTTGGACAACAGATCGATCAAAAACTCGTCTTGTTGTATCACATACAGATAAAATAAGTGGTTTAATTCCTATTGAAAATACTCATATTGTTACATCTAGTCACGATGGTACAATACGTATATTTCAATTAGACGATCGAAATGAAATTCTTCGTTTTAATACAAATGGATTAGTATGTTTGAATTTCTGTATCTTTCTATTTTTTTGTTTATCTAATATTTTAGAAAGTAACTTGTTTAACATCATGGAATGATTCGATTGTACCAACATTAAAATTATCTTATTCAACAAGTCTTATGAAAAATATTAAATCAAATATAAAATCAATCATCGCAGGATATGATGATGGAACATTGAGAATTTTTAATCTTTTACATGAACAAATGATACTTAAATTACAACCACATACATGTTCAGTAACAGCAATTCATGTTCCTTTACATAGTCCGTATTTTAAAATAAATAATTCAATCTGAAGAAAATATTTGTCCGTTTTTTTGTTTAGCAACAATAAGTCTTTCTGGTGCTCAAGATGGTTCAGTTGCAATATCAAATCTAGTACAAGGTCAACTTTTACGTGTGCTTAATGAACATCTTGGTTCAGCATCAATTTGTAGTATTGATTCGAAAAAATATTTCGAAAATAATTCTTATCTATGGTTAATTACTAGTCATGATCGACGTGTTAGTTTATGGAAATCAAATCAACAATTTGATCAATGTTTATTAATTGATTGGTTAACATTTTCTGCATCTGATACAACGAATAATTGGCAATCATTACCACCAAGTTTAGCACGTTTTATTGATACAAATTCAATTCTATATACCGGTTATGGTATTAATAAATCTATTCAAATATATAAGATTGATACAAAACAAATTATTCGAACAATCTCATTGAGTCAATGGTGTTTATGTTTTGATTTATCAAATCATTTCATCGCCATTGGTACAAATGAACGTTTAGTACAATTAAAAGATTATACTCAGGAAACATTTCAAGATTTTATTGGTAATAATGATATTATATCAAATATAAAATTTAATAAATCAAATGATTTATTAATAACAACATCATCCAATGAAATATTTATTTGGAAAATAGTTTTAAATTAGTTCTTTAGGATATACTTTGATATAATAACAAAGAAATAAAAATTATTTCCTTGTTGTTCTGTTTGGTGGTGGTTTATTTAATAAATAATAAAATATGAAAAGAATTAACTTTCAATTTTATTTCCTGTTTGAGATAAATGTCGAACAATCTCAACCCAATCATGACCACGAGGTTTTTGCCCATTTTCTCCACCCATTTGATGATTCCATTGACGACGTTTTTGTGATTTTGTTAGTTGTTCTTTTTTAATCACTGGTGCAGCTAAAGTAGAAACTGTTGCTGATGATGATGGTAATGATACAGTAGCATTTGATACCTAAAAATATTCAATATATATAATCTGTATTAAGTAAATTTCAAAAAAATATTTACCAAACTATTAAGAAAAATATCACCGTCATATGAAAAATCTTTAACACTTTCGAATAGAGTATATGTCATCGGCATGCCTAATTGTTCATTAGCCTAGATAAAAAATTTTTATTTTTATAATCAATAATTTTAATCATACATCAGCGGTTAATTTTTCTATAAGTTTAGTTTTGAAATCATTTGTTCTGTGGAGAAAAAAAATGAATAAAATATATCGAATAGAAATTAAACTTACAAAAGACGATTACTAAATAAATCAAGATTAATTGTCGGTACTACATCGGGATAATTATCAGGCCAATGAATTTCAACCAAATAAAAACGATCATCATCGAGTATAACCTTTATTTTATTATAACAAAAAATATAGATAAGTTTTTTTATTAAATATGGGTTTGATTTGAATCAAACCTACGTTTTAAGCTCACTTTGTATTGAAATGTATTGTCATTGATAATGGAAAAATTCGAATCTGATTCATAAATCGATTTTAGTACTTCACGTTCTTCCTAAATTTAAACATAATTAATAGGATTTAATTTCAAATAGAAATCTTACTTCATTCATCTTTGACAAATTATCAAAGAAAACCGTCGATACTATTTTATGAGATTAGATTTTTTTTTCGCCTTCATTTATAAGGAAATCTTTAATAGGTTAAAATAAAACCAATACATATCATTGACAGATGGAGGGCGTAGGCGGCGAAATAGAGAATTATTATAATTCATTCAAATAATGTAATAGATATTGTATTTAGAACAAAAAGCAATTAGGTTTCTTTCAATGTTCATCCGTTTTTTATAAGATTGTGTTTAGTGCAAAGCATACATTCATAATTTCCTGTATGAAAAGGCTAAAAGACCGTTTTATTGCATCGTACTTTTGAATGAAATAATTATGTATGTTTATTTTATAGTTAAATAAAAGCAAACTACCAATGAGACCATCTCACTTGTAGTATAATTAATTTCACATTATACATAACCGCAATGACGTGTATGTGATTAACAGAAAAAAGTACTCATCCTTGAAAGACGTTATTAATATTCGAGAAATTTATTATATAAGAAAAAAAAACTATTCTTTTTTTAATAGTGTATCATAATGTTGTAGTAAGTTATTTATTCTTGGACATCTCATTTTTTTTTACTATCAAATGAAGACAATATAAACATTCATTCATGTTTAAGTATTAAATAATTTCAAACGAAAAGTATAGTTAAAGTTACATTTCCTATTCTACTTAAACATGTACCTATTCTCTAGCTTTCAAATGTTATGACAAACATAATATAATATATATGAGCATGGTCAGTCATATAATACCCTCATTTATTTTACTAGAATTATTTAGCAGAAAAACGTGACGTTCTTACTATATATATTACAAATATACTGCTAGCAATATGTCGTTAGAAAAGAAGATTTTTGAAACATACTTATATAATCACTGTTAAAACGTAGTTTATATCATGTTCGTTATATAACCTAGAGAAAGATGTAAACTAACAGGATGTAAATCACACAGGTTGTTCCTACTCTATGTAACATGAACTTAGATAAACATTCAACTTCGCAATAAATAGTAGAACATGTTGTTCCATTTTGTATGATCATTTGCGTTTTTACTACTAGCTCTAAAGAAGTACTCGAAAAATTTTCTTTTCCAGCGACATATAGTAGTGTCCTGCGGAAACAACTTTTTTTGCTTCCCATTCCCTTCGTTTTTTTTGTTACTTCCCATTCCCTTAATTCCGTAAGTTTTCAAAGGCTCTCTTCATCTGCGAGAAAAAGGTCATTATCATATATATGTACCAGTTGCTGGTGACACCAAGTTCTGCGCATAGTAACGTGTTATTAAATAAATTAAAAGTACGTAACGATTAGAGGAATATTCTACTGATGCTTGCTTTTTTAATAGCATACAAAATATGATTTATACATCGAAACTTATCATTGTTGAAAGAATTATTTCCATATCTATTTAAAAAATAAAAAAACGAAAGAATAGTAGTACATCAACTACGGAGATGAAGAAACGGAAGTATTAAACAGAGGATGATGATAACGATTTATCACAACAACATGATAGTAATGAAGTGTTATCTTGAACGATGATGATAAAAAAGAAAATTTTAGTTGTGATGATTACATTATGAGTAGTTAAGAATAAAGCGATAGTTTCTGTTTGTTGATACACATTTGTTATTTTTCTGTTAATTATATATGAATAACAAAAATTATTAAAAATAAACAGTTATTAAATAGAAATATTTTTGTATATTGAAATAAAGTTAGTCACAGTTTAGGGAGCGTGAGCTTTTAGCTCTGTTCCCGTTCTCTAAATGTAAATGGGAATTCCCTTTCCTATTCCCATGGGAATGGGAAGGGAAAAAAGTCGTTCCCGCAGGACACTACATATAGGCCTCTATAAATGACAAGAGTATCACAAGACTGACCATGCCCATATATATTTCCATATTAACTCTTTTAGAATTCATAATGTTTTCACGATTTTATCTTTTAATTATTTTTGGTTTATTAATAATTACTATAAATAGTGTAAATTTAATCAGTCCATTAACTGAAAGCGAATGCAGAACTTGTAAGCCATATATAATTATAATAAATCTAATGATTTTTTATTTTGCAATAGATTTAGCATCAAATGATATTAATAAGAAACTTCAAGCTTTCTTTATTTGTCCAACAAAATGGCGTTCAAAATTCAAATCATGATTTTTAAGTTTTTTCAATAATAACAAAAGACTATTAACAAAGATAATATTTCAATAATACTCAGGTTTTCATTAATACATTGTAAAATTCTGTTTTTTTTTTATAAATAAAAGGAGAATTCTATTGTACTACGTGATTCTTCAAGTTTTTTCATACTGCGTAATAGTAATTAGATACAATATGTAAACAACGGAGAATTCAAGCTATTTCCTCATGGGATGGTTTTGATAAACTATAAAATTATTCATAGTAATATCACAAGACCCCGTTTGTTTATTTCGAATGTAATATTTAATTTTATACGATAAATTATATTGTTATAAGAATGTGGGATATATATTTTTTGCTTTGCTATCTTATATGATATGTAATTTGAATAGTTATATAATACATTCTTTTTTTTATTGTTAGATATTGATACTAACTAAATTTATCGAAAATATTTATGATTAACTATATAAAATGTCATGATACTTCATTCAATTAAATACTTCGAATATTAGTGGAAACATGATTTTATATGAGACAGATATGTTTTTTCTTGTAAATTTAATATGTATATTTTGAAATGAATGGCATTTAAGTTATGTATTTTCAGTCAGCTACAACATTGAATATAAATAATACAGTAATCTTATATATATATATAGTATTTCAGTATCACTACAACAGATAGTTTAATATCAATTCGAATTATAATGTCGTTTTGTTTTGGATTATTTGTAATTACCATCTTGATTGTAGTGACTGTTAATGGTATGCCATCTTCTCGACTGTTAACAGAAGCTGAATGCAAAGCTTGTTCGTATAATCATTTTTCTTTATAATTAATTTAAATATTTTGTATTATGATTAGATCTTTCATCAGATGACATTAATCAACAACTACAAGCTTTATTTGTGTGTCCCAGAAAATGGCGTTTGAAAATGAAAAAACCAGAATCGATTATTGCTAAACGCTCAATAAATAATGTTGAAGATAATGATAATGAACTCGATGATTTGTACTTATATCGGTAGAATACAGCAGATTATTTGTAGTTTAGATGAAATAACATCAATTAATTTATATGATGTCATTTTTTTTTGAATAAAAATTCAATGTAACAATTAATAAGAACTTTTGTTTTGTATTTTTGTCATGTAAAATAAAATAATTATTCGATGGAAAATTTCTGATTTTTTTTCTAATGAAAACGATGAATAGAAATAATTCTACAGAAATCGTTCGAGTGTATTATGCAATGAAAACAATAGATAAATACGATATTCTAGGGAGTGTTTATTGATTAAAAATAATACATAAATTTCTATTGATATAGATTAGTAAAAATATTTTGAATATAATAGTTTTATAATTCATTATATATTCTTCACATTTATTGTTTCGAAAAAATAAAACGAAGAAGAGCACATATATTTGTTGTTTTTTCTCATAGGGTAATTAAATATCCAATGATACATTTGTACAAAAAACGATATCTCTATAAATTGTTTATTTATAAGAACCCGAAAACTTCACGAAAATATAACAAATGAATCAAATTCTCATACTATAGTTAGATCTATGCCATTGCTGGATGATTTTTTTCAAGTCAAATCAATTTTTGTAATATGTAGAACAAGAATCAAACCAAGGTATGAATATTGTCAATATAAAACTTGAGACGATTATTTATTTTTACGTATTTTAGACATTCAACAATCTGAGATGGGAATATTACGATAAGACTAATTTGTAAATCAAGTCATATAATTTATGTGTATATGGGAATTTTTATAACGTAAGGTACTATAACTCATATAGTAACCTAATTTATGTTTAATAATATGGAAATTGAAACTTTGATAAAGAAACTTACAAAACAAACTGTTGAGAATTCTTAAATACCTGGAATAATATGGGATTATATGCATTCTTCCCGTAGATATTTATTTCTTTTCCAGAAATGTCAATTTTGTACTTTGAAACAAATGAAACTAGTATATAAAGACAAATAAATTCAACAAGAGTATACATTCGATTAAATATTTAACGTAAGTTGTTTACAAAATATTGAAACATATAATGTTCTTCTATTAGTTTTTATATCAATAATCTTGAAATAGTTTTCTTTTGTAATTTGATCGACCTTTTGTTTTATGATTATTGTTATATTTATTCGTCATAGTAGATAGAAATAAGAATCAATTACGATACTTCCGCGTTTTTTCAACTTGGTAAATATCTTGATTGAATATTTCCAATATAGATAGTCTAGGGTATTTACCTGAATTAATTCATAGTGTACATGTATATATAGATTAAGTAATTCAAATGGAATCATTCTATTTTATTTGTTTGATTTAGAAACTTCAACTATGAAAATATTCATCTTTTTGACATTCATTTATTGTATATCGCTGGTGTCTGGTGGTTTAATTACAAGTCATAAATCAGAAAAAGAATGTATAGACGGTAAGTTATTTTATAAAATAATTGATTTCTTCTTAATAATATTTCTAGATTTTGGAACAGCCACATGGGACGATAGCATTTTTTTAGGACGTTGGCCCTGTAAGAGTGTCTGGGAGAAATTGAAAAAACCAACTACTCCAGAAGAACTCAAGACCAGATTGTCAGATATGAACAAGAATCGAGGCAGAAGCATGGAAAAAAGTTAATTTTGTTTTTACTTTCTTTCAATGAAAGTTTATTAAAAAGACAACACATCAATTTTTTTTAAATAATTATGTGTATTTTATCATTTATTCTTGAATGATTTCAATGTTGATATGTAATAAAATGTTAAATCTGTATTTCATTTAATATATAACTATATTATGACTTATTCTAATTAGGTATTAATTTTATTTGATAGATAATTCATTAAGTAATCTTTTCGTATTATTCATCTTATATTTTTCATTATTTGATATTAATCAATCTTTCTTATTACGCTTATAGCAGTTTCTTAAAAGCTTCCCGACGAAAAAAAATGACTAACTACATTCGTTTTCTTTTTCTATTCATATTTATAATCATAGTATATCTGACACGGATAGAAATCAATCATCACATAGAGCACGTGTTTTGATAAATACCAAATAAAAAACACAACATAGGTAGATAGGTTTTCGTTCGTTAGCTTATTTCGTTTCTGTCCTTGCACGTTGTTTGGTCGGATTAATAATAAATCTTGTATTACACTTCGTATTATTCGTATTTTCAGATTAGAATTTCGCAAAAATGAGTATATTTAATTTCGGTCGTGAACAATTACAAAAAGGCATGTTAAATAAAATGCTTCAAGAAGTTGGTATTGATGATGTTGGTTCATTTGTTCAAGACTTTCGAAATGAAGCTGCACAAGCAAGTGTTGCTCCACACCAAGGAGATGATGATTATGATGAAGATGCAACACTTCAACATGCATCAGGTCAACAAGCAAATTTATTCTCAATGGGAAGTTCAATGTTAAATCAAGTATTTAAATAAAATAATTTCTTACAAATAAATTCATTTTGTATCTAGTTTTCTGGTGGTGGTGGTGGCCATGGTGGTGACGGTGATAGTAATCCTCTCGATATGGTTCAAGGTGCTATGAAAGCATACAAAATGTTTTCAGGTGATCAAAGCGGTAGCGGTGGTGGTGGTGGTAATTTTCTTGATAATATCGGTATGATAGATTAGTGACTGTGAAAAGATGAAAATAATAGAATATTTCTTGTAGGTTCTACAGTTCAAAATGCTCAAAAAATGTATGCTGTTTATAAACAATTTGATAAAAATGGTGATGGAAAAATAACTGTTGAAGATATAGAACTATATCTTCAAGAAATGGGGCTTGGATTTGTCTCACCATGTAAATATTTAAACTTAAATTTAGATGATTTTAATTTAACTTCATCGATTTAGATGTAGCTAAAGGTTTATTTCAAGCAGTCGATCAAAATCATAACGGTACACTTGATTTTACTGATCTTATGGCATTAACCGCTATTCTAAACAAACTTAATGGTCAATTTGGTGGCGCTCAGTAATAAATATTCTAACTTGACAGACACAAACATTTATATCTCTTTTATATTTATAATAGTTAATCATATCTTAACTTTCTTTCATTGGTAGCTATTGCTTTGTTCATTGAATAAAATATATTACTCATCACATGAAAATGTGATTCATCAAAACTCCTACGAAATAGTTATTTCGTTTCTATTTGTTTTGTTTTCTTCGATGACGTAAAACAGAGACATGATGTATGTTGTCCTTCTTATCTTTGCCTATAAAATAGACGAATATTTACATATATACTAGCCTTGATTTCGTATACGCTTCTATTATTAACCATAAATGGAAAATTTAGCAACTATAACTCAAGCAGATATTAATAATGGTGCACTTATACGTATGCTTAACAAAGCAGGTATTCCTGACATTCAACAATATATAAAACATTTTCATCAAGAAACAGAAGAATTAATAATCGAAGAATTCGAACATCCAAATGCAGATAAACTAGATAATGATGAACAAATTGTTCCACCGGCTGATATTCAAAGTTGGATCACTGGTTTTCGTCCGAACGTTGATGATCCTATTAAACCTGTATTATTTGAACAAGAACAACAACCAAAACCACAACCTCCATTGCCAAAGGATATTCAAGGATGGATCACAGGCTTAGGACCTCGTTTGGATGATCATAACAAGCCTCCATCATCCGAACAAGAACAACAACCAAAACTACAACCTCAACCTCCATTGCCGAAGGATATTCAAGGATGGATCACACGTTTACAACCTCGCTCAGAAGATCCTATTCAACCACCATTACCTGAACAACAATCACAAGAGATACCTCTACCAAAAGATCTTCAAAGCTGGCTACATCGTATGGGACCGAATAACTTACATCCATCTACCGAGACAACTACTGATACAACAGAAATAACTACGATTAGTAATGATATTAATCCGGCAAATGGTGATCTAGGCACTTGGCTCAATCAATGGTCAAAAAGTCTTACTGAACAACCACCACCAACTTCATTAGATAATTGGTTAAAAGGTCTCATACCAAACAATATGCATGAACCACTTAGTAAAGCAAATAGTTCAAAAGGTCGACTAAATAGCTATTTGAATGCAGCTGAACAGGTTTTTTCAAAACATGGCTATGATGTTTCAAATGAAGTTAAATCACCAACAAATGT